TATCCCCCCGCCTCAGCCTCCCAAAGTGCTGGGATTACAGGCATGAGCCACCGTGCCTGGCCAACTTTTGTATTTTCAGTAGAGACGAGGTTTCACCGTGTTGGCCAGGCTGGTCTTGAACTGACCTCATGTGATCGGCCCACCTTGGCCTCACAAAGTGCTGGGATTACAGGCATGAGCCATCACGTCCCGCCCTAAAACACCAAATCTTATTAAATCTACACTCTACAATTCTGTCACATCTATCACTTCATCTCTGTCCACTCCTAGCACTGACTTAGCTGAGGACATCATCAACTCTGATCAAAGGACCCTAAGTCTAAGTAACAATACCAGTTTCACGGCAGGGCTTCCCTGGAACCAGGCTGGATGTAATGAAAATTTTCAAGAGAATGTGATTTGCTCTTTATTTGATTTTCTTTCCTTCTCTTTCTTTCTTTCTTTCTTTCTTTCTTTCTTTCTTTCTTTCTTTCTTTCTTTCCTTCCTTCTTTCCTTCTTTTTCTTTCTTTCTTTCTCTCTTTCTTTCTTCCTTTCTTTCTCTTTCTTTCCTTTCTTTTCTTTCTTTCTCTTTCTTTCCTTTCTTTTCTTTCTTTCTTCTTTTTGTTTTGAGACGGAGTATCGCTTTTGTCACCCAGTTTGGAGTGCAATGATGCAATCTCAGCTCACTGCAACCTCTGCCTCCCAGGTCCAAGCGATTCTCGTGCCTTATCCTCCTGAGTAGGTGGGATTACAGGCGCCCGCCAACAAGTCCGGCTAACCTTTTTTTTTTTTTTTTTTGTATTTTTAGTAGAGATGGGGTTTCACCACGTTGGTCAGGCTGGTCTCGAACTCCGGATCTCAGGTGATCTGCCCGCCTGGGCTTCCCAAAGTGCTGGAATTACAGGCATGAGCCACCGCGCCCAGCGATTTTCTTTTCTTTCTTTCTTTTTTTTTTTTTGAGACGGAGTCTCGCTCTGTCGCCCAGGTTGGAGTGCAGTGGCCGGATCTTGGCTCACTGCAAGTTCCGCCACCCGGGTTTACGCCATTCTCCTGCCTCAGCCTCCCGAGTAGCTGGGACTACAGGTGCCCAATACCTCGCCCGGCTAGTTTTTTTGTATTTTTTTAGTAGAGACGGGGTTTCACCGTGTTAGCCAGGATGGTCTCGATCTCCTGACCTCGTGATCTGCCTGTCTCGGCCTCCCAAAGTGCTGGGATTCCAGGCTTGAGCCACCGCGCCAGGCCGATTTTCTTTTCTTTAAGACCAATCTGAAAGTGCGGAACTCTGTGCACCTGAAATGATTACATTTTGATATTGACGTGAAAAAATTGGGTTCTACTTTGCCCCAGTTTCTCAACCCAAAGAAGACATTCCAAAAGTTTCCTATGGGGCCTAGGAAGTTTGGCCTTCACAGGATAGTGGCAGGAGTGTTAACTTTGTCCTATTACCAAAAGGTGTCAAAGCTGTTACTAAACTGTCTGTGACAGTATGGGAAACCCTGACAGCACTGGGGAATTCCTCATGGTCCTTCCAGACCATGGTCACAGTGAGAACCCGATTCTGTTGCCCTGGCCCTGTGGGGAAATCCCCAAGATAGCTGCTGATAGTTAAGGAAACAGTGTCCTGCCTAGGCTGGGTGAGAGAGATTGGGTCAGACAGGCTGCACTTCCTCAGTGAGTGTGCATATGCCCGTCCGCACTGCCTATCGTTTCCTCACCCGATGTGAGAGCAGGGGGCTGAGCTGAGCTGAGTGGAGAATTCATGGGACCTTTCGATGGTCAAGACCCAAAACTTCTATTGTATAGCATCCCTGGAACAGAGAACAGGAGGCAGTCAAGGCCCCAGCTTCAACCTTTTGACAGTAAACCAGAAAAGACCAAGTAGTGAGGTCTCCACTGTCTCACACAAGCCAAGACCAGGTCTTAGACTATCCAGTGTTCCTTTCTCTCTTTCACGGTGCTGATAATTTGGGGAATGAGCACTCCATTGTCATAGGAGGGGCAGATGGGGGTGGAAGAGTGAGAAGGGTGAAGTTAGGACATAGACATTCCCACTAAGCCAGAGACCCCTGAACTGCCATAGCCATGACATGCACAGGTTGTCCTCAAATCCCAGGGCCATGGACAGGTCTTGGGTGTCTTTCAAATTTTAAGTTGGTTGGCATCTGTCTAGTTCAAAACCTGATTTAGGTTCAGTTCAACCAGGGAGTATGATTCTTTGGGGAGAGGGCCTTGACCTAGAAATCTACATGCTCAGCGGTCTGCCCAGCTGCTAATGGCTCTGACACACTGGAAAGGCACTCACCCTCTGAGGGTTTCAGACTGTATCTTTGAAAATAAAATTCAGTGGATGAGGTACCGGGTGCAAAGGTATTGTCCTCAACAGCTCTAGTTGCTACTTCTAACTCACAGGGTACGTATCACGAAGGATCCCACCATCCATTGTCGGTCTGAGCAGGGAATGGGATTTTGGCAGACCATGAATCCTGTATTAGTTTCTAGAGGGACTATAACAAAACACCACAGACTTGGGTGTTTAAACCGAGATTGTACCACTGCACTCCAGCCTGGGTGACAGAGTAAGACTCTGAATCAAAAAAAAAAAAAAAGTGTATACATAGGAGCACTCTGAGATGAGTAACTCAAAGGGGTGGTTAGAATTTGGGATCTACCTAACAGCAGGGGAAAAGGAGGAGGAATAAAGGACATACGGAAAACCAAATGACTTTTGAAAAGATAAATGGTCCCTTAGAATAGATGGAAGATTTGAGTCTTGTGACAATGTCTATTTGGGTGTGATGACTACTTCTCATCTCTGAGATTAGATTTGCTTCTAGTCCTGAAGAAGATTTATGACAACTGAGTTAAAAATTTGAGACTTGCGAGGAGGATCTGCTATTAAACAGGTAAGGGATTTTAGCTGTTTATTTCAGCTGAAAATAATTCTTAAGTCGAAACTGGCACATTTGGAGGTAGCATGTCCTGATCCCCTTAAAAAGGGAACTGAATAGACCCCGTATCTCTGATTCTGCCCAGGGTCCTGTGCCCGCTGACACCAGAAATCACCACTTCTCTCAGCCTTGTTTTGTGGTGGTTTTATCAAGCTGCAATTTGGTTATGTCTTTTCTAACAGTGTTTAAAAGCAATCAGATGCAGGCACTTTTCCTTTTATTAACTATTATTGAGCTTATATTGGACACTGAACTAAGTGTCAGTTTACAAAAATGAATAAACAAAAATCACTGCCAGTAAGGAACACACAGCCAAGATGGGGGGAGTACTAAGATGTAAAGAGATGTAAAATAATGTGATCGATTTGGCGAGAGTTACTAAAGAGTCAGAAAAGGGCAAGCATGTTTCTTCTCTGTCCTGAAGCAGCCAAGGGAGAGGAAGATATCCGATGCCAATGCTGGGGTGTTGGTTTAGGCATGTAGATGCTGTGATGGGTAGTGGAACCGTTCAATGAGCAGACAGGAGAACCAGCTTTATGCGGGGAGGGAGAGAAGTGCTCCCCTCATCCCCCGTGAGTCACACCCTGGAGATTATAAATGTCAACATTTTGATTTCGGGAGATTTTGAGTTTTGAGCTTAAAATGACTGAAGAACCACGAGGTGGATCTACGTGTTTCGAGTCTAGAAGTCTGAATACAGATTTACGATTTATGAGCACATAGGAGGTGGATCCAAGGGAGAGATTAAACAGGGCACAGAAGAGTTTTTAAAAATAATATTTTTTCCGGGGAAAAAACCCCAACGAAACACGATTCTTTCAGCAGAAACCAGAACATTTTCTCACAGACTCTCCTACAGAGAGCCCTGATAAAGTAATAAACATGCTAACAGTAAGAACCCCAACCAATTTCATAGGGCAGTTTGTGGTAATTACTCTCAGTATGGAGCAGATAGCCCTCTTGCAAAACCCGATGCAGCAAACTTTGCTAGCTCCATGTGGGGCCTCCAGAGGACACAGTTGGGCACTAAATCCTGGCTGAAAACAAAGGCCGATTTAGAGGATCCGTAGAAACGGATGCACAGAATATCCCTCCGTTTTCTCTGTGTAGCAGGCCCTCCATATACGCGGGTTCCCCAAGATCGAAATATCAAACAAATGAATTAAAAAAAAAATACAACAAAAGCTAGTAAAAATAAAAACAGTATAACAATTACTTACATAGCATTTACATTGGATTAGGTGTTACAAAGTAATTTAGAGACCATTTAAAGTACACGGGAGGATGTGCATAGTTATGTGCAAATACTACGCCATTTTCTATGAGAGACTTGAGCAACCAGGATTTTGGTATCGGCGGGAGCCCTGGACCAATCCCCCTCAGTTCTACCGAGGGAGAACTGTTTTGTTTCTTCCAGCACTGCTTTGACCGACAGTGTGTTGGGATTCGCTGACCTCCATGAGAAAGCTTGGCAGCATGCTGAGATCAATTTTCCCAGGGCCAGAATTCTCCTGCGTGAGCTAAAATAGAGTGGCTCGGTCCAACAAAACAGAGCCTAGAGTCAGGAATTATGGCGAACCCGCTCCCTCCCGTCCTCCCTTGGCGCACAGATCCCTGGCGCCGCCGCTCTTGAGGTCGCCTCTCGCGTGCCGGCCTCATCGTCGGAACGGCGCTTCCTGAGGCTTTATATAAGGACGGCTCTGAATCCGCTCGTCGGGATTAAATCCTGCGCTGGCGCGCTCCTGCCCGCCTCTGGCCTCCATTTGCTCTACCTGAGGCTCCCTCCAGAAGAACTTTCCCTTAGCCTCAGTGCAGTGCCTTTCGGGCGTCCTCAGACCAGACACAGGCCAAAGCCACCGCAGAATCCGGAAGCCCTGGGTTGGGATGTGAATTCTCCCGGGGACTATGGCGTAGCGGGGCGCGGTGGGGGGGGAAGAGGGTGGGAGGGACCTGAGCAGAGTGGAGGAGGAGGGAGAGGAGAACAGAAAAGAAATGACGAAATGTCGAGAGGGCGGGGACAATTGAGAAAGCTTCCCGCCGGCGCGCTTTCGGTTTTCAATCTGGTCCGATACTCTTGTATATCAGGGGAAGACCGTGCTTGCCCTGACAGAAGCTGTCTTTCAGGCTGTAGCAGTCATGTCTGGCAGGGGAAAGGGTGGAAAAGGCTTAGGCAAAGGGGGCGCTAAGCGCCACCGCAAGGTCCTGAGAGACAACATTCAGGGCATCACCAAGCCTGCCATTCGGCGTCTAGCTCGGCGTGGCGGCGTTAAGCGGATCTCTGGCCTCATTTACGAGGAGACCCGCGGTGTGCTGAAGGTGTTCCTGGAGAACGTGATTCGGGACGCAGTCACCTACACCGAGCACGCCAAGCGCAAGACCGTCACAGCCATGGATGTGGTGTACGCGCTCAAGCGCCAGGGGCGCACACTGTACGGCTTCGGAGGCTAGGCCGCCGCTCCAGCTTTGCACGTTTCGATCCCAAAGGCCCTTTTTAGGGCCGACCACTCGCTCATCTGAGGAGCTGGACACTTGACTGCATAAAGTGCAACAGTAACGATGTTGGAAGGTAACTTTGGCAGTGGGGCGACAGTCGGATCTGAAGTTAACGGAAAGCTACTGTGGCCCATGGCGCTCACAGCCGTAAAGACTTAAGTCGTTGACCGAAAGCGGCTTTTTCACTTACTTGGGCTTTTTTTTTTTTTTTTTTTTTTTTTTTGCCTTTATCGATATGAAAGGTTGAATGTGCTCTAGGTTTGACCACTACTTTCTCGGCTTGCTCTTCTGGAGCAGTATATAGGCACACCTAGAGGGGCACGTCTTTGCGATCACCAGATCTGGTTCTGAGAAATAGGCACTGGCAATTTACACGTGCCTTGCTATGTAATCTCCCTATATTTGCTCAGGCAAAGTGGGAGAAGCAGCCTTAGATCTTCATTCTATAGATGCCGGCTTTCCCACCTGATCGGCTTAGATTTCGCGATTGACTGTTCTGGGCTTCATTTTACCCTCTACATAACAAGCGGGTGGACTAGATCCCTTAGTAAGGGTCCATGTTATGTGGTATCTTCAGCCACGCACTCAGCTCAATCTTAGTACAGTTAAAAAAATGAATTTCTAGCAAGCTATCTGCCCAGTGCCTGAAAAGTATCATTTCTTGTGTTCAGTAAAAAGGCTCCTAATTTAATCAAGGACCTATGAGATAACTGTCTTTCAGTTGTGGCATTGCAAGGATACAAATGCAGAGACATTTTAATGTGATCCTTCTATAAGAGTGAACCAACGATATGATCTGAAAGCAACTTCACAACTAATTCAGGTATGTGACTTCTACTTCTTAGGGCCTGTTGTAGCTTAGAATGAGAGACGTGCAGAAACGTGCCCACCATCAATACAGAAAGCACAATTTAATTTTGACAAGGCAAAAGCCAATTCTATATCAGCATGGCATCTGTTAAAGCAAGTTATTCTTTACACTACCACCTCTAAATTGCCCTCATTTGGATTAAAATGTGGGTTCACATTTCTAATCCTTACAGTTTTGCAGCCATTGCATATCCCATAAGTTTCTTTTTTGTTTGTTTTTCTTTTTATGTTTTTTTTTTTTAAGATTCTAGGCTTATGATTTTACTGTGTATGTATTTGGAAGAAGAAATTCTGTCAGCTCCCAAAGGATAAACCAGCAGTTGCTTTATTGGTTTTCAGATGTGGCTGCTCTCATCAGCATCAAACACTTGAGACTGAACTAAGCTTAAAACACGGTACTTGGCAATCAGGTTGCCGGCAAAGCACTGGTGCGAGACTTGCCTTCCAGGAGCTTACCAATGGGGCTGCCAGCAAAGCGGTGGATGCAAGACTTGCCCTCCAGGAGCTTACCATCAGAACGGAGAAGACAATAAATGCATAATATATAGACGACATAAATCCATACCTGTACACATTTAAGAATAAACAGTCCAACAGTAAGAGGCAGTACATATTCAATATGCTGAGAAATGTAGACAATAACTACTATAGGAATCCTAATGCTACAGGAGTCACTGGCTGCTGGGAAACCAAGGAAAACTTGGCTATGGACGTTGGGGCTTGTGTCGGACTCTGAATAAAGGGCAGAATGATTGGCATCCTACTGAGATACAGAGTAAAAGGGTTGAGGGCAGGGAGGAAGTGGCAAGAATAACATTTGTGAAGATGTCCAGGTAAGAAATAGAGGTTGTAATGCTCAAGATGTTTCCTTTTCCCTTTTAAATCTGACCTGTGATTTTCAGCATTGCTATTTCAAGTATCACTGATTTTTTTTTTTTAATTTTAAAGGCAATGCTGATGAATCTATCTGATCCTCACCAAGATCCACTAAAGAAGGAGATATCAAAAATTTGAAGATAAAGAAAGAAAGGGAGTGGGGGAGAAAACACGTCCATTGTCTGAATCAGTTGTTCTCAAAATGTAGCCTCTCATCTAGCAGCACTGATCACCTGGGATAAAGTCTTGGGCCCCACCCCAGACCTATTGAATGAGAAACTGAAGAAACTGAGGGGTGAGACATAGTAATCTGTGCTTTAGAAAAGCCCTCCCGGTGATTCTGATACACATTAAAGGTTGAAAGCCACTGACTTAGGTAACAGCATTTCTTTCTTTCTCTCTCTCTTTCTCTTTCTTTCTTTCTCTTTCTCTCTTTTTCTTTTCTTTCTTTTTCTTTCCTTCCTTCTTCCTTCCTTCCCTTTCTTTCTTTCCCTTCCTTCCTTCCTTCCTCTTTTTATGAGATGGAGTCTTGATCTGTCACGCAGGCTGGAATGCAGTGGCACGATCTTGGCTGACCGCAACCTCTACCTCCCGGGTTCAAGTGATTCTCCTGCCTCAGCCTCCCGAGTAGCTGGGACCACAGGTGCCCACCACCACGCCGGGCTAATTTTTGTATTTTTAGTAGAGATGGAGGTTTTGCCATGTTGGCCAGGCTGGTCTCGAACTCCTGACTTTAGGTGACCCGCCCTCCTCGGCCTCCCAAAATGCTGGGATTACAGGAGTGAGCCACCGCGCCTGTCCTCTTTTTCTTTTTTTAAACAGTTTTTGTTTTAATGCAAAAATATTTAAAACCTGAATATATGTTGCCCAGATGTTCACCCAAATGTTAAAATTTGCTTTAGTTTGAAGTCCAGCTAATTTGTGTATTTTTAGTAGAGACCGGGTTTCACCGTGTTGGCCAGGCTGGTCTTGAACTCCTGACCTCAGGGGATCCACCCCTCTCAGCCTCCCAAAGTGCTGGGATTACAGGTGTGAGCCACCATGCCCGGCCAATTACTGAGAATTCCTGCCTTTTTCACAGGATTATTTTAAGGATCAAATGAAAAGTTATACGTGAAAGAAGAATGACGCCATGAAGTGATACCGAAACCAAAGTTGATATATGTATTGCCTTTCCCACTCAATGTAGTTCGTTTTTTGTTTTGTTTTTTTGAGAGACGATTTAACTCTACTTATGGTGACCAGGCATTGCTTGGGTACGGCTACTACGGAAATAAACAAAGACAAATCCTCACCCTGAGAAATGTTGCCAGCCTAATGCTGAGAGGTTAAGGAAGGGAAGGGGTATTAAGATAGGAGAGGGCAGAGGCAAGGAGGAGGGCCCAAAGAGATGAGGGCAAAGAAGAGCAAGGGAGCCGGGCACTGTGGCTCATGCCTGTAATCCCAGCACTTTGGGAGGCCAAGACAGGCAGATGACGAGGTCAAGAGATTGAGACCATCCTGGCCAACATGGTGAAACCCCGTCTCTACTAAAAATATAAAAATTAGCTGAGCGTGGTGACACGCACCTGTGGTCCCAGCTACTCCAGAGGCCGAGGCAGGAGAATCGCATGAACCCGGGAGACGGTGGTTGGAGTGAGCCGAGATGGTGCCTCTGCACTCCAGCCAGGGCGACAGAGCGGGACTCCGTCTCAAAAAAAAAAAAAAAAGAAAGAAAAAGGTATCTCTGGTACAGAATGGAAGCTCAGTGTGGCAGGGCAGAAAGACTATCCTGACTATGTAATCTACTAGACCAGAGCTGGCGAGAGCTTCAGTTGAGGCATGGTCATGGGTGGACGGAGAAAAGGTGATACAATTGAAAGTCAGAAGGTAGATTTAGTAACATTTGGAACTCATGAGATTTGCACAGAGGGCAAGAGGAAGGGACACCTGACTCAGAACAGATGGGGGTAATGAAGGTGGCTTCCAGGAAGATGGGGAATGTGGAAAGAAACAAATCGGTTTGGAAAGCAAGATGATGCATGTGGTTTTGGAAATAAGCTGGGTTTGAAGTGCCTAGTATCCATCCAGAAGGACCTATCTACCAGGCAGTTAGAAACATTGGTGTAGCCAGGCACAGTGGCCCACGTCTTTAATCCCAGCACTTTGGGAGTCCAAGGTGGGAGGATGGCTTGAGCCCAGGATTTCGAGACCAGCCTGGGCAATGCAGTGAGACCCTGACTCTACAAAAAATAAAAAAAATTAGCCGGGCCTGGTGGTGTGTGCCTGTAGTCCCAGTTACTCAGATGGCTGAGGTGGGAGGACCCCTGAACCCAGGAGTCCAAGGTTGCAGTGATCTTTGATTGTGCTACTGCACTCCAGCCTAGACGAGTGAGACCCTGTTTCACACACACACACACACACACACACACACACACACACACACACAAAATGTGTAGCGCTCAGGATAGGGTCTCAGCAGAAGATACCAATTTGGGAGCACTTAGCTAAGGGACAGAAATATGGAAAGCAGGGAGTCAATCTCACTTGAGTTGCACGGAGAAAAGAAGATGGCCAAGGCCAGCACGGGGGAAACCAGGAATATTGACGGGGAAGAGAAAGACATGAGAAGACTGAGATGCGGACCGAGAGAAGGATAAGGGTGACCAGGAGAGTGGACAAGTCCTCTTCTAAGGAAGAAAAAGCAGTGTAAACATGGCCATGTCTCTTACCATGTAGTTCCCCTCCAAACACACACACACACACACACACCTGTCCCCCACTAGCCTGCCTAAGGCAGAATTAAATGTGAACAAAGCACGTTTTTCACTTCATAAAAGCCACAGATTCAGAGTGGGCTTACTGGCAACCAAGGTAGCCACGTAGAAGCTAGTTATTAGAGGAAGAGGTGGGTTTGAGACAGGGTCTCACTATCTTGTCACCCACACTGGAGTGCAGTGGCACAATCTCAGCTCACAGCAGTCTCTGCCTCCCGGGCATAAGTGATTCTCCCACCTCAGCCACCCTAGTAGCTGGGACCACAGGCAAATGGCACCACTCCCGGCTAGGTATTTCTTTTTTCTTTTTCTTTTTTCTGTTGTTGTTGTAGAGACAGGGTCTTGCTATGTTTCCCAAGCTGGTCTGGAACTTTGACTTCAAGCAATCCGCCCGCCTCCGCCTCCCAAAGTGCCGGGATTAACAGCTGTGAGCCACAGTGCCCAGCCAGAGGAAGAGTATTTCTTTACCGTATCCTTAATTATCCTTTAACTGTCACCTGAGGGGAGACAATGATTTAAGTACAGGGAATGATTAAATGTTAAAACTTAGCATTTTAGAATGTTATCTTGTATTGATGAATTCAGCTTATGCTGGTCTCGCAAACAAATACGAAGACTGACAGATTCCTGTGAGTGCAGGCCTTCACAGTGCCAGGACCACAAGATGTAATGAATTCTACTCCTGACTGGATATAAAAAAAAAGCCACGAAATTTTCCTTTGAGATTCAGCCGGGGAGACCTCCTGGAGTTTAGAGGTGCCCAGACTGGTGAGTGAAAGGAGTGTGATCTGGGGTGCGGGGTGGGGGGGGCAGTCAGAGGACCTAGATGTCTGACACCAACATCCGCAGCTTCCGGTCTCTGCTCAGTCACTACTGGACCTGAGAAGCTGGGTGCAGAGATGGTGGGTGACCTGCCCACCTCTGAAGGTCACTAGTTTTTGAAGTCAGAATACCGCCCATGCACTGTGGGCCTAAGCAGGTTATGAGGGTCTCCGCAGAGACCCAGAGGCATGCTCTAGAAATTGCTGTGACCCTGGAGCAGAAACATGTGGCAGTCCCCAGCAGGGCTCACCTACACTGCTCTCCTCACTTAACACGCCTCAGGAAAGGCAAAATGGCAGCTTTACAAAACGAAGTTTTATTCCATTTTCCCTTCTCCCCTCTTAATTCTCACAGATCTCTGCGGTGAATGCTTTTAACCTGTCAACTGTGATGAAACAAACAGAAAACCAAAGCCCTGGCTTCTTTGAGGTGCAACTAAATGACCGAGAAGGTGTTACCTAAGACCTCTACGGCCATTTGTATCTGGCCCTGTGTAGAGTGGGCTCTGCAAGACCCTGCCTCACTTTCCCACTAAGAGGCCTTGGACTTCCCAGCTCCCAGAGACTATAGAGATCGCCTCTGAGGCCTCCTGTCACGATTTCCTAAGGTGAGGAACTTCATTTGCCCAACGGAGGCCCACGTTCTGCCTGTTTGATCTACTGTCTTCCCAAGGATCTGACCTCGGGGACCAGCGTCTGCCCACGTGTCCGACGAAAACAATGTCAAGGAACTACTGAGTCTGGACAGAAAATCCAGACACACCATGCAGCTTCTAAGAGAACCGAGTGCCCTCATTGGAATAGAGTGAGTCTCCTCTGGAACAGCTCGATTAAGCCCAGATTCACAAAATTCCGCCCACACCCCGTGACCCCGGGAATTTTGGCTTAGGGGCAGGATGTGGGGGTTACCACTGTGCTGGTGGAGGTGGCGTGGGCCCGACCGGCAGCCCCAGCGCAGTTCTCCCCACGTTTGCCCGCAGAACCCCGGCGAGGCCGAGGTGGTCATTTCCCTCGCTAGCCGGAGGGCCGCGCCGGGTGAGGCCGGTTTGGGCGCGAAGCACGGGCGTGTGGCCCTCCACTTCCGCAAAGGCCAGGCGCTCTCAGGACCGCGAGCCCTGAGCGTCCGCCTGGTGACCCCTGGCCTCGGGACCGACGCCCCGTCCCTCCTGCCCTGCCTCCCCCCGCCACGCAGGGCCCCGGTCACGCGCAGGAAGAGCCGGACCGTCACAGCCCCCAAGCCGGCGCCAAGGAAAGCGGCCGCAGCCCGGCCAGTCCGGATAGGCCAACTGGCCGAAGTCGGCAGAGCTCAAGATGGCACCGCAGCAGGGGACCCGACTTGTCAACCGGCCCCGTGTTTTGTTGGGAGCCCAACCGGAAGTGCCTTCCCCGCTCTAATGCCGGAGGGGGAGCACGGAGGGCAAGCGGTACAGCTTCTTCCAAGTGCTGATGTGGGTGGCTCTGAAAAGAGCCTTTTGGATACGATGGAACCTCCGACCGAACGCGCACTTCTTAAGCCCGCTCACCACGGATGCGGCGGGCCAGCTGGATGTCCTTGGGCATGATGGTCACGCGCTTGGCGTGGATGGCGCACAGGTTCGTGTCTTCGAACAGCCCCACCAGGTAGGCCTCGCTGGCCTCCTGCAGCGCCATCACGGCAGAACTCTGGAAGCGCAGGTCCGTCTTAAAGTCCTGCGCGATCTCGCGTACCAGCCGCTGGAAGGGCAGCTTGCGGATCAGCAGCTCCGTGGACTTCTGGTAGCGCCGGATCTCCCGCAGGGCCACGGTGCCGGGCCGGTAGCGGTGCGGCTTCTTCACCCCGCCCGTGGCCGGCGCGCTCTTGCGGGCCGCCTTGGTGGCCAGCTGCTTCCTCGGGGCCTTGCCGCCGGTCGACTTGCGGGCAGTCTGCTTAGTACGGGCCATAGCGAACCAAAACACAAGCTTACCAGCGCAGCGGCGGGGAGAGAAACGGGCTGCTGGCCCCGCGGCAGCCGTCTTTATAAGCACAGTCTTTTCCCGATTGGGCGGAACAAGAATTGAAAATCCCGCGCTGGCTGTCCATTGGCTGTGACGTCACCCGTCCTAAAGTCACCGGTTGGCTTGGGCAGAGTCCTCCCTAATCCCGCCCACCCGCCTCACTTTCTACTTTCCAGTTGGCCAAGTTTTGCAAGCTTGTTTTTCCCCCTTTCCTTCAGGGTGAAAGTCGTTTTCCGTTGCAGTTTTGTCAGATTGTTCCCTGTCCGCCCTTCGCTTCCTTTCTTGTTGCGCCCAGCGGCTCCGGCATGGAACCTCATTCTTCCATTTGCCCCCAGCCTCCAGTTGCTACTTGGCGGATCGTTTTTCGCCTGTCGGGTACCTTTTGGGTGGGAGAGGTGCCCGCCCCCAGATTCCGCCTCCGAGACCCTTACTCTCCGCCGCCAAGGCGCTTTGGGAAACAAAACAGAAACTAAGACTTAAGTCAGCTCCGTGAAGCCAAGACCCAGCTCCGCCACACTGGCGAGCACTACCCGCTCAGGGTCCTCCCCATCGGGGGTGGGGGCAAGGAGCACGTCCCGCTAGTGCTAGGCTAGGTCTAAGTGCCCGGCCATGGCCTGCGGAAACCACTGGGGAAGCGCGCGCTCCGGGCGCAACACTTTAAGCGCCTTGGGTACTGCCCGCGGCGCTGGTGTTTGTGACTGTGTGGAGTGGACCGTGGCGGCACCCAGGATGTTTGCTGCCTCCACCTTCGCTGGGAAGTCCTAGGAGTGGGGACCCACTCATCGATGACCCAAGGCAGTTACGTGCTCCAGATGCAAGACGGCACACGCGCGCACACACACACACACCCCCGTTCCGTCCCGTCCCGTCCCGTCCGCTGCAGGTTCGCCGTTTACTACTGAGAAACGCTGGACTGAGAGGAGCCGGCATTAGCAACTCTTTTATTTGAAAACGTGGGTGGCTCTGAAAAGAGCCTTTTGAGTTCACAGGTGCCCCTTCGAGACGCGGGCCGGGCTGGGCCCACTTGGGCCGGACGTCAGCCTCACTTGCCCTTTGCCTTGTGGTGACTCTCCGTCTTCTTAGGGAGCAGCACGGCCTGGATGTTAGGCAGGACGCCGCCCTGGGCGATGGTGACTTTGCCCAGCAGCTTGTTCAGTTCCTCGTCGTTGCGGATGGCCAGCTGGAGGTGACGAGGGATGATGCGCGTCTTCTTGTTGTCCCGAGCCGCGTTGCCCGCCAGCTCCAGGATCTCGGCGGTCAGGTACTCGAGGACCGCCGCCATGTAGACTGGCGCGCCGGCCCCCACCCGCTCCGCGTAGTTGCCTTTGCGCAGCAAGCGGTGCACTCGCCCTACCGGGAACTGGAGGCCAGCGCGGGACGAGCGCGACTTGGCCTTGGCGCGGGCCTTGCCTCCTTGCTTGCCACGACCAGACATCACAGCGATAGTAGTAGTCACCGAGTGAAACTCCTGCCTGGCGACCGGAAAAGTCACCGAAAACGCCGCCGCTTCACCCTTTTATAGACAGAACGGCGATTGTCCACGGAGCACTTTGATTGGCTCAAGCAAATTTTGTCCCGATAGCCAATAGGATAGCTCAGCCAGAATCCACTCATTTACATAATCTCGTCTCTCTCGCATTGGGCGCCGCGAAAAACTCGCGAACCGCAACGCAGCGTCAGGCGCACGGCCTCTGTAAGTGCACAGTCGTTTCCGGTAGAGCCCGAGACCAAGGTTCTGCCTGCGTTGTCGGCGGGTGAGAGTCGGTCTTGGGTCTGGCCGTGCCTGAACCTGCAAAGTCCGCGCCGGCTCCCAAGAAGGGCGCCAAGAAAGCCGTCACCAAAGCCCAGAAGAAAGACGGCAAGAAGCGCAAGCGCAGCCGCAAGGAGAGCTACTCCATCTGCATGTACAAGGTGCTGAAGCAGGTCCACCCCGACACCGGCATCTCGTCCAAGGCCATGGGCATCATGAACTCCTTCGCCAACGACATCTTCGAGCGCATCGCGGGAGAGGCGTCCCGCCTGGCGCACTACAACAAGCGCTCCACCATCACGTCCCGCGAGAGCCAGACGGCCCTGCGCCTGCTGCTGCCCGGCGAGCTGGCCCAAGCACGCCTTGTCCCAGGGCACTTGCAAGGCTGTCACCAAGTACACCGGCTCCAAGCGAGTCCCGGCTGCTTGACTCCAAAGTCTCTTTTCTGGGCTGCTTAACCCCCTCAGTGAAAGAATCTTTCCTGTGTTGTCAGTCCCAGTTTATATTTTTGGTTTCTCGTCAGCTTTTCGGAGAGCACGCAACTCCACCAAGCACAGAGAACTATATTCTTTTCACATAGGCATTGTTGTAAGTAAGCTTACATAGATTGATAGTGGTATCTTACTCTGGTCTAGATATGCTGGGGTTTGCCTTAGGGGCTGCTCTTGAAACTGTCTTTGTTCTGCCTACGTACCCGTGAATGTGTGCCCAGCAAATTGTGTCCTGGTTAGAAATGCAGTGTTAATTTTGGTAAGCTTATGTAAGATCAAATTGTCTATGTGAACAAAGGTTGGGTCTGCTCTTCAGTGGTAAAATGAAGGTAGAGATTAAATACATTGTATGCTCTCAGATGTGTACTTAGAAGGGAATAAATAGTTCAACTTTTATATATGGTATCGAGAAATTTCTTGAGGTTTTTATATCGTTGGTTCACAAACACGTGCCTACACCGTTCATGTGAAAATTTCTTAAGCAGGTAGATGGAAGTTTGATTTTGATAACCAGGAATTCACACCGTTAACACCATCTGTGCTTCCTACTTGAGATACCCTAAAATCTACCCAATACCATTAAATAGTGATTTTTTTCCCTAAGAATTATCACTTGGAAAAGCTTGTCCAGTTTAATGATTAGTTCCATACAATGGCAACAAAATATATATGATTTCTGAAGCCAGAGTTTGGGATGCCTGAAGAACAGAAGGACCACCAATTTGCAAGAGAAGTTGATTAGGTTCTCTGCTTTGGAAACACTGGATTTGGAATCACAGAGCCTCATTAACCTTAAAAGATTATACTGATGGCTTTGGGGAATCATAAATCCTAGGCTGGCCACAATAGAAGCAAGGAAAGCAATTAGGAGGCTGTTGCAGTTTTGTGGTCTGGAGCAGTGATTAAGTCTTAAAGTCTTTCCAGACCAGCAGCATCTGCATTAGTTGAAGTTATTAAAAATGAAAATTCCCAGGTTCCATTATTTGTGTTAACAAGCTTTCTGGGTGATGCTGATGCATGCTAAAGTGTGAAAAACACCAGATAAATAACATGTTGGAGTGCAGTGGTGGTAATGGAAACAGAAATGTTGGATTTTATCTTTGACGTAGAATAGATGTGGCTGAGGAACAGGATTTAGGTAACAGTGAAACCCCTAGATTTTTGGCTTGAGCAACTGTGTAGATCGTGGTACTATTAGGATAGAACACTGGGAGAAGATACTCATTGGGACACTGATGGGAGATCCAGAGTTCCACTTGAAATTTGAGAAGCTCTTTGCTATTCAAGTGGATATGTGCAGCTGACAGTTGGAGAGATGGATCTAGAGTTCAGTAAAGACAACACAAGCCTGTCTTTAAGATCTACCTGTGAACTGTGAACACAGCAATGGGAATGATGGAGATCACCTTAAAGTATTTTTCTAGACTTTATTACTCATGTGTTTTGTCATGAGGTATAACTGAGTAGTTCATAGTCCTATAATGTATGTTACTGACTAGGTAGTATTTGTTTTTATAATCTTGTTTCTGTTACAGTGCTGCCACATGTGTTTCCCAGAAACGCATTTTGCCCACAGTTCTTAGGGTTGGCCTGATTTGTTTGTTGTCTCAACCTGCTTCTTACTGTGATTAGTTCAGGAATCTAGATCAAACTAATTGGCATTTAACATTTCAGGAAATGAACTGAGTTAACAACTAACTCAGCAGGGGAGTGTAGCATGCTATTATCTTTTGGGAAAGCAGCTTATTTGCTTTCAAGAGGCAGCAGCAGGATGGACTGTCTTTAGGTATGAAGGCAAGAATGATTATAGAGAAAATGCAGAGGAGGGCACAGTGTGGGAGAATCAGAGAACTGAGCCACTCATGGAGTTCAGCCAACCTTGGATCCCTGCTGTACCTTTGGACTTCCAGTTAAGCCAATTTGTCTGACGTATTTGTTTATACCAGTTTGAATCTTGAAATATTTCAGGAATAATAAATAATTTCCTAGATACAAGGAAAGATCTTTCGTGAAAGGTCTCAAAGAAGTCAAATGGGGTCTATTAGGACAGAGTTGCTCCTATTACATATTTGGAACAAATGTCCAAATGTTGAAAATCAATACTTGACTAAGGCTAAAGACTAGTATTACCATCACAGGAAGAATGTCCAGGGTTTTTTTTTTTTTTAGATGTGAAATGTTATTTAAAATTTTTAAATTAAATCAAAAAATTTTAGTAGTTGTATTAATTTCCTGGGGCTGTCAAAGTACCATAAATTGTATGGCGTAAAACAACAGAAACTTATTCTTTCATGGTTTTAGAGGCCAGAAGTTTGAAATCAAAGTGTTGGTAGGGCCATGCTCTCTCCAAACCCACTAGGGGAAGACTCTTGTCTTTCAGTGTCTGGTAGCCCCATTTGTTTTTTGGTTTGTGGCAGCATAACTGTAATCTCTACCTCAGTCTTTTCATGTATGTCTCCATGTTTTCTTTCTTTCTTTTTTTAGATGGAGTTTCTCTCTTGTTGCCCAGGCTGGAGTGCAATGGCATGATCTTGGCTCACTGCAACCTCTGCCCCCCGGGGTTCAAGCAATTTCCCTGCCTCAGCCTCCTGAGTAGCTGGGATTACATGCGTGCATCAGCACGCCCGGCTAATTTGGTATTTTTGGTAGAGATGGAGTTTCATCATGTTGGTCAGGCTGGCCTTGGCCTCCCAAAGTGCTGAGATTACAGACGTGAGCCACCGCACCCAGCCGTCTCCATGTCTTCTTATAAGGGTATCAGTCATACTGGATTAGGGCCCACCCTAACGACCTCATTTTAACTTGGTTACATCTGCAAAGACCCTATTTCCAAAGAAGGCAAAATTCTAAGGAACTAGGGGTTAGACTTCAACGTATCTTTCGGGGGGACACAACTCAACCCATAACATTAGTCAATGGCTGTGGCAGGCTAAATGTGGCTCCCAAATATGTCCATATCCTAATCCCTAGAGCCTGAGTATTACCTTATATAGCCAAGGAGATTTTGCAGATGTAATTCTGAGATTGAGAGATTATGCCAGATTATCCAGGTAGGCCCCAAATGTAATCACCACAGTCCGTATAGGAGAGGCAAGAAAGTCAAGTGTAGAAGCAGAGAGAGATTTGAAGATTAACAGGCTGCTTGCTTTGAAGACAGAAGGGACCATAAACCAGAAATAAACCTCTAGAAGCTGGAAAAGGCATGGAAATAGACCCTCCCCCTTAAGGCCTCTGGAGGGAGTGCAGCCTTGATTTCTACTGAGTAAAATTGATTTTGTACTTCAGACCCCCAAAACTGTAAGAGAATAAATGACTGTTGTTTTAAAACCATTAAGTTTGTAGTAATTTGTTGCAGCAGCCACAGGAAACTAATACAACAGCTATACAGAGTTTTTTCAATAATTGGAGAAATCTGAATATGGATTGCATATTAATACTGAATCAGCATTAAATTTGTTAGGTATAATAATGTTATTGTAGCTATTTAGGAGAATATCCTATTTTTAAGAGACATGCCACCGTATTTACGGAGAAGTGCCAACATATTTGCAGTTTATTTTCCAGATGGGTCAGGGGCTGTGTGTACCTGAGAAGACAAAGATAAGGCAAATGCAGCGAAATCATAATAATTGGTGAATCCAGGTGAAGGGACTATGGTTGTTCTTTGTACTTTTTTTTCCAACTTTTCTGTAGGTTTAAAATTTTCAAAATAAAAAAATGGGAAATACTTTAAAAACTGTAATCAAAGACAGTACAGAAACTCATAATGTATTTTATTTTTACAATAAAATTAATTTATGTAAATTGATATTTTACTAATTTCACCCCCAAGTTATATTAAAAGCTTTATTATATACGTTTGATAATAGCATATGTAAACTAGAACTCTGAATGATATCCATTGGTCATAATACATACTGTGTAGTGGTAATGGTGACTTTTGTGATTGCACAAGACCAGAGATGCCCCAAATGACATTGACATAGACATCTCGTTATTCTAAGGCTGAAACTGAAGTTGAATAGAAGGTTTCAGTCAAATACTGAGATGAAAGCTGAGGCAGTCTTGGGGGCAGGGGGGAAGAGTGTGTGTGTGTGTGTGTGTGTATACACACAGACGACATGATTTCTAAATATTTACAGAAAGGGTAGATTATCTACAAAAGAATAAGAATCAGACTGATATGAGATCTTACAAACCTAATCCCCTTCCTAAACTCCAGATTCTCATATTTCTGACTTCCTGTGATATTTATACTTCGATACTTACCAGGAGGTCTTCAACATTTTGTTCAACAGTATTCTTGGTTTCCTTCCTCCAAGACTACTCCTCCCTCCTATCAGCAAATAGTAGCTCTTTTCAAGTGCTCAGTGTAAAAACCTACAATTAATCCTTGATTTCTCTTTTAGTCAGCCTATACTAAATCAATTTCATTTAAAATACCTCCGCAACTAACCTGCATCTCCACATCTCCATTGCTACCACCAGCCTCTCCAGTCAAATTCTCCAAGAGTACTCTATCTCATTTAAAAGACAAAATCTCTGCAATGGCCTGTGAAGCTCCTTAATGGCCTACATGATCTGGCCTTCAAGCACCTCTCTGATCTGTGCAAAACTTTCCCTTGGTCAGTGTGCTTCACCCACATTCACCAAGCTTGTTCCTGCCTTGGGGCCTTTGTACTTACCATGTTGTTCTGAGAATACTCTGCCTTAAGATATTCTATAACTATCTTACTGTATACAGCTCTGCTCAAGTATTAACTGATCAAACCTGTCATCCCTATTCCACTCCATGTTCTGCTTTACTTAACAGAATTGCACATATGGCCCCCTGAATAATATAAATTTATTTGTTCACTTATTTTTCACTATTTGTTCACTTATCCACTAATTAAAGTGTAGACTTTTTCTATTCTGTTTACTGCTGTATTCCCAGCATGTTTTATCCGAATGTGCAGTGGTTTTTCTTCTCCCTTATTGTGGGAAGTCGTGTGCACAAATACACATAATGGAACCTGAATGTCATATTGCTTTCATACCTGTGTGAATTTTGGTAAGAAAGGAAAAGTAGCGATTGACAAGTAATATAATTACATTGAGTCACTCTCATAGTTAGCTGTTTATTGCTTTCCTGCTCTTATTCTCAGTCCCCAGGACCAAATGTTGACCACTCCCTCCCCCACATATAACTGGTTATTTACTCGACGCCATGCAGGTGCCTGTTAAAATGAAGTCACATACCTGCCTTATTAACTCAACCTTTCCCTACTGTCTTTCTGACCCCCACCTCCATGCTTTAAATTAACTTTGCAGGCTTAGGCTTTATCTCTCAGTAGAGCCATGTAAGGTATGTGTAAAAGGAAGAAAATGTTTTCTGGGGATGAAGCTTTGAAAAGCTTGCTTTTTTTTTCTTTTGGCAATAAAATAAGGTATATTTAGCACAATACCTAATAACTAAAAAATCTGTTTTTATTTGGGTGGGGTACACAGCAAGTGTGTCATCCTGGAAGATACTATTTGGAATTTTATGTAGGTACATAAAGAGAAAAAAGTGAAAAGGGGCTACTAGGACACTGCAGTATGCTTAATGTGTATTTTCTAGTAAGTTTGTATTATGCCATTATCTTGGTACTTTTATCTTCTGTTCTCACTTGATCTTTTTGAAATGTATTTTCAATCCTAATAAAAATATATAAAGTCCTGATTTAATAAAGGATTAAATGAAACTTTTGTATATCGCACTGCAATTCTCAGAAAAAAGGGGAGTGTGGGGAGGGGGAATTATCTGGCATAGTGACTGAAAATTGTGAACACGTTCTTACCAAGGAATATGGCAACTGCATAACCAAATGTCAGTGGTTACCAAACTTATGAATCACCTGGTGGTGTGTCATAGATTGCTTGTCTCTCGCCCCCAGTGATTTGGATCAGTGGAAATATGTGGGGTTTAAGGAATATAAAATATATTTATGTATATATTTGTGTGTGTCGCAAAAGCTTCAGGGTATATATATATTTGTGTGTGTCTCAAAAGCTTCAGGGTAAAATAAGTTTTAACTGTTTAGGAAACTATTGTTTAAGGTATCCAGTCTCAAAAATGAAAGCCTTAAAACTTAGACCTAATTTTTTCATTACATTTCTTGCGCAGAAAATGGTAAAATACCCAACGATAACAGTGGGGAATTGTCTACATATCAACACTTGACTAAAAAGCTTTACTATCCATGACAGCAGCCTTTCCATTACTCTATTCTGAGAGCATTTAACGTCTTGAAACCCAGGAATAAATACCTATAGATTCACAGTACCTGAAAGGAATATCAAATTGAGACAAAAGAACTATGTAAACGGAAAATTGCTTCAACCATAGAATGGAGGTCTACAGGTGCGGAAGGAAAGTTTACATGGTGAGGCGTGGTCGCAAAAGTTTAGGAATATTCTCAGGTTACTACACAATTTAACGAGCTCAATATGCATTTATATTTTTTCCTTCCACTCTCCTGAGCAGATTTACACTGACCGCCCCGGTAGCAAACCGACTATGGAAAAGGCAAATTATGTGCACATTACCATGTTATTACCAGGTAGTTCTCGACCAAGCTACAGATTCTGGCTTTATCTTATATTCCTCTCCCATCAGCTGCAGAAAAAGGGATAGGTGCTGTGAAAAACTCCCTAAGTAGAAATTACAGTAAGCAGTGTGAAAACAGCTTATTTCACTGAAGGGGTTAAGCAGCCCAGAAAAGAGACTTTGGAGTCAAGCAGCCGGGACTCGCTTGGAGCCGGTGTACTTGGTGACAGCCTTGCAAGTGCCCTGGGACAAGGCGTGCTTGGGCCAGCTCGCCGGGCAGCAGCAGGCGCAGGGCCGTCTGGCTCTCGCGGGACGTGATGGTGGAGCGCTTGTTGTAGTGCGCCAGGCGGGACGCCTCTCCCGCGATGCGCTCGAAGATGTCGTTGGCGAAGGAGTTCATGATGCCCATGGCCTTGGACGAGATGCCGGTGTCGGGGTGGACCTGCTTCAGCACCTTGTACATGCAGATGGAGTAGCTCTCCTTGCGGCTGCGCTTGCGCTTCTTGCCGTCTTTCTTCTGGGCTTTGGTGACGGCTTTCTTGGCGCCCTTCTTGGGAGCCGGCGCGGACTTTGCAGGTTCAGGCACGGCCAGACCCAAGACCGACTCTCACCCGCCGACAACGCAGGCAGAACCTTGGTCTCGGGCTCTACCGGAAACGACTGTGCACTTACAGAGGCCGTGCGCCTGACGCTGCGTTGCGGTTCGCGAGTTTTTCGCGGCGCCCAATGCGAGAGAGACGAGATTATGTAAATGAGTGGATTCTGGCTGAGCTATCCTATTGGCTATCGGGACAAAATTTGCTTGAGCCAATCAAAGTGCTCCGTGGACAATCGCCGTTCTGTCTATAAAAGGGTGAAGCGGCGGCGTTTTCGGTGACTTTTCCGGTCGCCAGGCAGGAGTTTCACTCGGTGACTACTACTATCGCTGTGATGTCTGGTCGTGGCAAGCAAGGAGGCAAGGCCCGCGCCAAGGCCAAGTCGCGCTCGTCCCGCGCTGGCCTCCAGTTCCCGGTAGGGCGAGTGCACCGCTTGCTGCGCAAAGGCAACTACGCGGAGCGGGTGGGGGCCGGCGCGCCAGTCTACATGGCGGCGGTCCTCGAGTACCTGACCGCCGAGATCCTGGAGCTGGCGGGCAACGCGGCTCGGGACAACAAGAAGACGCGCATCATCCCTCGTCACCTCCAGCTGGCCATCCGCAACGACGAGGAACTGAACAAGCTGCTGGGCAAAGTCACCATCGCCCAGGGCGGCGTCCTGCCTAACATCCAGGCCGTGCTGCTCCCTAAGAAGACGGAGAGTCACCACAAGGCAAAGGGCAAGTGAGGCTGACGTCCGGCCCAAGTGGGCCCAGCCCGGCCCGCGTCTCGAAGGGGCACCTGTGAACTCAAAAGGCTCTTTTCAGAGCCACCCACGTTTTCAAATAAAAGAGTTGCTAATGCCGGCTCCTCTCAGTCCAGCGTTTCTCAGTAGTAAACGGCGAACCTGCAGCGGACGGGACGGGACGGGACGGAACGGGGGTGTGTGTGTGTGTGCGCGCGTGTGCCGTCTTGCATCTGGAGCACGTAACTGCCTTGGGTCATCGATGAGTGGGTCCCCACTCCTAGGACTTCCCAGCGAAGGTGGAGGCAGCAAACATCCTGGGTGCCGCCACGGTCCACTCCACACAGTCACAAACACCAGCGCCGCGGGCAGTACCCAAGGCGCTTAAAGTGTTGCGCCCGGAGCGCGCGCTTCCCCAGTGGTTTCCGCAGGCCATGGCCGGGCACTTAGACCTAGCCTAGCACTAGCGGGACGTGCTCCTTGCCCCCACCCCCGATGGGGAGGACCCTGAGCGGGTAGTGCTCGCCAGTGTGGCGGAGCTGGGTCTTGGCTTCACGGAGCTGACTTAAGTCTTAGTTTCTGTTTTGTTTCCCAAAGCGCCTTGGCGGCGGAGAGTAAGGGTCTCGGAGGCGGAATCTGGGGGCGGGCACCTCTCCCACCCAAAAGGTACCCGACAGGCGAAAAACGATCCGCCAAGTAGCAACTGGAGGCTGGGGGCAAATGGAAGAATGAGGTTCCATGCCGGAGCCGCTGGGCGCAACAAGAAAGGAAGCGAAGGGCGGACAGGGAACAATCTGACAAAACTGCAACGGAAAACGACTTTCACCCTGAAGGAAAGGGGGAAAAACAAGCTTGCAAAACTTGGCCAACTGGAAAGTAGAAAGTGAGGCGGGTGGGCGGGATTAGGGAGGACTCTGCCCAAGCCAACCGGTGACTTTAGGACGGGTGACGTCACAGCCAATGGACAGCCAGCGCGGGATTTTCAATTCTTGTTCCGCCCAATCGGGAAAAGACTGTGCTTATAAAGACGGCTGCCGCGGGGCCAGCAGCCCGTTTCTCTCCCCGCCGCTGCGCTGGTAAGCTTGTGTTTTGGTTCGCTATGGCCCGTACTAAGCAGACTGCCCGCAAGTCGACCGGCGGCAAGGCCCCGAGGAAGCAGCTGGCCACCAAGGCGGCCCGCAAGAGCGCGCCGGCCACGGGCGGGGTGAAGAAGCCGCACCGCTACCGGCCCGGCACCGTGGCCCTGCGGGAGATCCGGCGCTACCAGAAGTCCACGGAGCTGCTGATCCGCAAGCTGCCCTTCCAGCGGCTGGTACGCGAGATCGCGCAGGACTTTAAGACGGACCTGCGCTTCCAGAGTTCTGCCGTGATGGCGCTGCAGGAGGCCAGCGAGGCCTACCTGGTGGGGCTGTTCGAAGACACGAACCTGTGCGCCATCCACGCCAAGCGCGTGACCATCATGCCCAAGGACATCCAGCTGGCCCGCCGCATCCGTGGTGAGCGGGCTTAAGAAGTGCGCGTTCGGTCGGAGGTTCCATCGTATCCAAAAGGCTCTTTTCAGAGCCACCCACATCAGCACTTGGAAGAAGCTGTACCGCTTGCCCTCCGTGCTCCCCCTCCGGCATTAGAGCGGGGAAGGCACTTCCGGTTGGGCTCCCAACAAAACACGGGGCCGGTTGACAAGTCGGGTCCCCTGCTGCGGTGCCATCTTGAGCTCTGCCGACTTCGGCCAGTTGGCCTATCCGGACTGGCCGGGCTGCGGCCGCTTTCCTTGGCGCCGGCTTGGGGGCTGTGACGGTCCGGCTCTTCCTGCGCGTGACCGGGGCCCTGCGTGGCGGGGGGAGGCAGGGCAGGAGGGACGGGGCGTCGGTCCCGAGGCCAGGGGTCACCAGGCGGACGCTCAGGGCTCGCGGTCCTGAGAGCGCCTGGCCTTTGCGGAAGTGGAGGGCCACACGCCCGTGCTTCGCGCCCAAACCGGCCTCACCCGGCGCGGCCCTCCGGCTAGCGAGGGAAATGACCACCTCGGCCTCGCCGGGGTTCTGCGGGCAAACGTGGGGAGAACTGCGCTGGGGCTGCCGGTCGGGCCCACGCCACCTCCACCAGCACAGTGGTAACCCCCACATCCTGCCCCTAAGCCAAAATTCCCGGGGTCACGGGGTGTGGGCGGAATTTTGTGAATCTGGGCTTAATCGAGCTGTTCCAGAGGAGACTCACTCTATTCCAATGAGGGCACTCGGTTCTCTTAGAAGCTGCATGGTGTGTCTGGATTTTCTGTCCAGACTCAGTAGTTCCTTGACATTGTTTTCGTCGGACACGTGGGCAGACGCTGGTCCCCGAGGTCAGATCCTTGGGAAGACAGTAGATCAAACAGGCAGAACGTGGGCCTCCGTTGGGCAAATGAAGTTCCTCACCTTAGGAAATCGTGACAGGAGGCCTCAGAGGCGATCTCTATAGTCTCTGGGAGCTGGGAAGTCCAAGGCCTCTTAGTGGGAAAGTGAGGCAGGGTCTTGCAGAGCCCACTCTACACAGGGCCAGATACAAATGGCCGTAGAGGTCTTAGGTAACACCTTCTCGGTCATTTAGTTGCACCTCAAAGAAGCCAGGGCTTTGGTTTTCTGTTTGTTTCATCACAGTTGACAGGTTAAAAGCATTCACCGCAGAGATCTGTGAGAATTAAGAGGGGAGAAGGGAAAATGGAATAAAACTTCGTTTTGTAAAGCTGCCATTTTGCCTTTCCTGAGGCGTGTTAAGTGAGGAGAGCAGTGTAGGTGAGCCCTGCTGGGGACTGCCACATGTTTCTGCTCCAGGGTCACAGCAATTTCTAGAGCATGCCTCTGGGTCTCTGCGGAGACCCTCATAACCTGCTTAGGCCCACAGTGCATGGGCGGTATTCTGACTTCAAAAACTAGTGACCTTCAGAGGTGGGCAGGTCACCCACCATCTCTGCACCCAGCTTCTCAGGTCCAGTAGTGACTGAGCAGAGACCGGAAGCTGCGGATGTTGGTGTCAGACATCTAGGTCCTCTGACTGCCCCCCCACCCCGCACCCCAGATCACACTCCTTTCACTCACCAGTCTGGGCACCTCTAAACTCCAGGAGGTCTCCCCGGCTGAATCTCAAAGGAAAATTTCGTGGCTTTTTTTTTATATCCAGTCAGGAGTAGAATTCATTACATCTTGTGGTCCTGGCACTGTGAAGGCCTGCACTCACAGGAATCTGTCAGTCTTCGTATTTGTTTGCGAGACCAGCATAAGCTGAATTCATCAATACAAGATAACATTCTAAAATGCTAAGTTTTAACATTTAATCATTCCCTGTACTTAAATCATTGTCTCCCCTCAGGTGACAGTTAAAGGATAATTAAGGATACGGTAAAGAAATACTCTTCCTCTGGCTGGGCACTGTGGCTCACAGCTGTTAATCCCGGCACTTTGGGAGGCGGAGGCGGGCGGATTGCTTGAAGTCAAAGTTCCAGACCAGCTTGGGAAACATAGCAAGACCCTGTCTCTACAACAACAACAGAAAAAAGAAAAAGAAAAAAGAAATACCTAGCCGGGAGTGGTGCCATTTGCCTGTGGTCCCAGCTACTAGGGTGGCTGAGGTGGGAGAATCACTTATGCCCGGGAGGCAGAGACTGCTGTGAGCTGAGATTGTGCCACTGCACTCCAGTGTGGGTGACAAGATAGTGAGACCCTGTCTCAAACCCACCTCTTCCTCTAATAACTAGCTTCTACGTGGCTACCTTGGTTGCCAGTAAGCCCACTCTGAATCTGTGGCTTTTATGAAGTGAAAAACGTGCTTTGTTCACATTTAATTCTGCCTTAGGCAGGCTAGTGGGGGACAGGTGTGTGTGTGTGTGTGTGTGTTTGGAGGGGAACTACATGGTAAGAGACATGGCCATGTTTACACTGCTTTTTCTTCCTTAGAAGAGGACTTGTCCACTCTCCTGGTCACCCTTATCCTTCTCTCGGTCCGCATCTCAGTCTTCTCATGTCTTTCTCTTCCCCGTCAATATTCCTGGTTTCCCCCGTGCTGGCCTTGGCCATCTTCTTTTCTCCGTGCAACTCAAGTGAGATTGACTCCCTGCTTTCCATATTTCTGTCCCTTAGCTAAGTGCTCCCAAATTGGTATCTTCTGCTGAGACCCTATCCTGAGCGCTACACATTTTGTGTGTGTGTGTGTGTGTGTGTGTGTGTGTGTGTGTGTGTGTGTGTGTGAAACAGGGTCTCACTCGTCTAGGCTGGAGTGCAGTAGCACAATCAAAGATCACTGCAACCTTGGACTCCTGGGTTCAGGGGTCCTCCCACCTCAGCCATCTGAGTAACTGGGACTACAGGCACACACCACCAGGCCCGGCTAATTTTTTTTATTTTTTGTAGAGTCAGGGTCTCACTGCATTGCCCAGGCTGGTCTCGAAATCCTGGGCTCAAGCCATCCTCCCACCTTGGACTCCCAAAGTGCTGGGATTAAAGACGTGGGCCACTGTGCCTGGCTACACCAATGTTTCTAACTGCCTGGTAGATAGGTCCTTCTGGATGGATACTAGGCACTTCAAACCCAGCTTATTTCCAAAACCACATGCATCATCTTGCTTTCCAAACCGATTTGTTTCTTTCCACATTCCCCATCTTCCTGGAAGCCACCTTCATTACCCCCATCTGTTCTGAGTCAGGTGTCCCTTCCTCTTGCCCTCTGTGCAAATCTCATGAGTTCCAAATGTTACTAAATCTACCTTCTGACTTTCAATTGTATCACCTTTTCTCCGTCCACCCATGACCATGCCTCAACTGAAGCTCTCGCCAGCTCTGGTCTAGTAGATTACATAGTCAGGATAGTCTTTCTGCCCTGCCACACTGAGCTTCCATTCTGTACCAGAGATACCTTTTCTTTCTTTTTTTTTTTTTTTGAGACGGAGTCCCGCTCTGTCGCCCTGGCTGGAGTGCAGAGGCACCATCTCGGCTCACTCCAACCACCGTCTCCCGGGTTCATGCGATTCTCCTGCCTCGGCCTCTGGAGTAGCTGGGACCACAGGTGCGTGTCACCACGCTCAGCTAATTTTTATATTTTTAGTAGAGACGGGGTTTCACCATGTTGGCCAGGATGGTCTCAATCTCTTGACCTCGTCATCTGCCTGTCTTGGCCTCCCAAAGTGCTGGGATTACAGGCATGAGCCACAGTGCCCGGCTCCCTTGCTCTTCTTTGCCCTCATCTCTTTGGGCCCTCCTCCTTGCCTCTGCCCTCTCCTATCTTAATACCCCTTCCCTTCCTTAACCTCTCAGCATTAGGCTGGCAACATTTCTCAGGGTGAGGATTTGTCTTTGTTTATTTCCGTAGTAGCCGTACCCAAGCAATGCCTGGTCACCATAAGTAGAGTTAAATCGTCTCTCAAAAAAACAAAACAAAAAACGAACTACATTGAGTGGGAAAGGCAATACATATATCAACTTTGGTTTCGGTATCACTTCATGGCGTCATTCTTCTTTCACGTATAACTTTTCATTTGATCCTTAAAATAATCCTGTGAAAAAGGCAGGAATTCTCAGTAATTGGCCGGGCATGGTGGCTCACACCTGTAATCCCAGCACTTTGGGAGGCTGAGAGGGGTGGATCCCCTGAGGTCAGGAGTTCAAGACCAGCCTGGCCAACACGGTGAAACCCGGTCTCTACTAAAAATACACAAATTAGCTGGACTTCAAACTAAAGCAAATTTTAACATTTGGGTGAACATCTGGGCAACATATATTCAGGTTTTAAATATTTTTGCATTAAAACAAAAACTGTTTAAAAAAAAGAAAAAGAGGACAGGCGCGGTGGCTCACTCCTGTAATCCCAGCATTTTGGGAGGCCGAGGAGGGCGGGTCACCTAAAGTCAGGAGTTCGAGACCAGCCTGGCCAACATGGCAAAACCTCCATCTCTACTAAAAATACAAAAATTAGCCCGGCGTGGTGGTGGGCACCTGTGGTCCCAGCTACTCGGGAGGCTGAGGCAGGAGAATCACTTGAACCCGGGAGGTAGAGGTTGCGGTCAGCCAAGATCGTGCCACTGCATTCCAGCCTGCGTGACAGATCAAGACTCCATCTCATAAAAAGAGGAAGGAAGGAAGGAAGGGAAAGAAAGAAAGGGAAGGAAGGAAGAAGGAAGGAAAGAAAAAGAAAGAAAAGAAAAAGAGAGAAAGAGAAAGAAAGAAAGAGAAAGAGAGAGAGAAAGAAAGAAATGCTGTTACCTAAGTCAGTGGCTTTCAACCTTTAATGTGTATCAGAATCACCGGGAGGGCTTTTCTAAAGCACAGATTACTATGTCTCACCCCTCAGTTTCTTCAGTTTCTCATTCAATAGGTCTGGGGTGGGGCCCAAGACTTTATCCCAGGTGATCAGTGCTGCTAGATGAGAGGCTACATTTTGAGAACAACTGATTCAGACAATGGACGTGTTTTCTCCCCCACTCCCTTTCTTTCTTTATCTTCAAATTTTTGATATCTCCTTCTTTAGTGGATCTTGGTGAGGATCAGATAGATTCATCAGCATTGCCTTTAAAATTAAAAAAAAAAAATCAGTGATACTTGAAATAGCAATGCTGAAAATCACAGGTCAGATTTAAAAGGGAAAAGGAAACATCTTGAGCATTACAACCTCTATTTCTTACCTGGACATCTTCACAAATGTTATTCTTGCCACTTCCTCCCTGCCCTCAACCCTTTTACTCTGTATCTCAGTAGGATGCCAATCATTCTGCCCTTTATTCAGAGTCCGACACAAGCCCCAACGTCCATAGCCAAGTTTTCCTTGGTTTCCCAGCAGCCAGTGACTCCTGTAGCATTAGGATTCCTATAGTAGTTATTGTCTACATTTCTCAGCATATTGAATATGTACTGCCTCTTACTGTTGGACTGTTTATTCTTAAATGTGTACAGGTATGGATTTATGTCGTCTATATATTATGCATTTATTGTCTTCTCCGTTCTGATGGTAAGCTCCTGGAGGGCAAGTCTTGCATCCACCGCTTTGCTGGCAGCCCCATTGGTAAGCTCCTGGAAGGCAAGTCTCGCACCAGTGCTTTGCCGGCAACCTGATTGCCAAGTACCGTGTTTTAAGCTTAGTTCAGTCTCAAGTGTTTGATGCTGATGAGAGCAGCCACATCTGAAAACCAATAAAGCAACTGCTGGTTTATCCTTTGGGAGCTGACAGAATTTCTTCTTCCAAATACATACACAGTAAAATCATAAGCCTAGAATCTTAAAAAAAAAAAAACATAAAAAGAAAAAACAAACAAAAAAGAAACTTATGGGATATGCAATGGCTGCAAAACTGTAAGGATTAGAAATGTGAACCCACATTTTAATCCAAATGAGGGCAATTTAGAGGTGGTAGTGTAAAGAATAACTTGCTTTAACAGATGCCATGCTGATATAGAATTGGCTTTTGCCTTGTCAAAATTAAATTGTGCTTTCTGTATTGATGGTGGGCACGTTTCTGCACGTCTCTCATTCTAAGCTACAACAGGCCCTAAGAAGTAGAAGTCACATACCTGAATTAGTTGTGAAGTTGCTTTCAGATCATATCGTTGGTTCACTCTTATAGAAGGATCACATTAAAATGTCTCTGCATTTGTATCCTTGCAATGCCACAACTGAAAGACAGTTATCTCATAGGTCCTTGATTAAATTAGGAGCCTTTTTACTGAACACAAGAAATGATACTTTTCAGGCACTGGGCAGATAGCTTGCTAGAAATTCATTTTTTTAACTGTACTAAGATTGAGCTGAGTGCGTGGCTGAAGATACCACATAACATGGACCCTTACTAAGGGATCTAGTCCACCCGCTTGTTATGTAGAGGGTAAAATGAAGCCCAGAACAGTCAATCGCGAAATCTAAGCCGATCAGGTGGGAAAGCCGGCATCTATAGAATGAAGATCTAAGGCTGCTTCTCCCACTTTGCCTGAGCAAATATAGGGAGATTACATAGCAAGGCACGTGTAAATTGCCAGTGCCTATTTCTCAGAACCAGATCTGGTGATCGCAAAGACGTGCCCCTCTAGGTGTGCCTATATACTGCTCCAGAAGAGCAAGCCGAGAAAGTAGTGGTCAAACCTAGAGCACATTCAACCTTTCATATCGATAAAGGCAAAAAAAAAAAAAAAAGCCCAAGTAAGTGAAAAAGCCGCTTTCGGTCAACGACTTAAGTCTTTACGGCTGTGAGCGCCATGGGCCACAGTAGCTTTCCGTTAACTTCAGATCCGACTGTCGCCCCACTGCCAAAGTTACCTTCCAATATCGTTACTGTTGCACTTTATGCAGTCAAGTGTCCAGCTCCTCAGATGAGCGAGTGGTCGGCCCTAAAAAGGGCCTTTGGGATCGAAACGTGCAAAGCTGGAGCGGCGGCCTAGCCTCCGAAGCCGTACAGTGTGCGCCCCTGGCGCTTGAGCGCGTACACCACATCCATGGCTGTGACGGTCTTGCGCTTGGCGTGCTCGGTGTAGGTGACTGCGTCCCGAATCACGTTCTCCAGGAACACCTTCAGCACACCGCGGGTCTCCTCGTAAATGAGGCCAGAGATCCGCTTAACGCCGCCACGCCGAGCTAGACGCCGAATGGCAGGCTTGGTGATGCCCTGAATGTTGTCTCTCAGGACCTTGCGGTGGCGCTTAGCGCCCCCTTTGCCTAAGCCTTTTCCACCCTTTCCCCTGCCAGACATGACTGCTACAGCCTGAAAGACAGCTTCTGTCAGGGCAAGCACGGTCTTCCCCTGATATACAAGAGTATCGGACCAGATTGAAAACCGAAAGCGCGCCGGCGGGAAGCTTTCTCAATTGTCCCCGCCCTCTCGACATTTCGTCATTTCTTTTCTGTTCTCCTCTCCCTCCTCCTCCACTCTGCTCAGGTCCCTCCCACCCTCTTCCCCCCCCCCGCGCCCCGCTACGCCATAGTCCCCGGGAGAATTCACATCCCAACCCAGGGCTTCCGGATTCTGCGGTGGCTTTGGCCTGTGTCTGGTCTGAGGACGCCCGAAAGGCACTGCACTGAGGCTAAGGGAAAGTTCTTCTGGAGGGAGCCTCAGGTAGAGCAAATGGAGGCCAGAGGCGGGCAGGAGCGCGCCAGCGCAGGATTTAATCCCAACGAGCGGATTCAGAGCCGTCCTTATATAAAGCCTCAGGAAGCGCCGTTCCGACGATGAGGCCGGCACGCGAGAGGCGACCTCAAGAGCTGCGGCGCCAGGGATCTGTGCGCCAAGGGAGGACGGGAGGGAGCAGGTTCGCCATAATTCCTGACTCTAGGCTCTGTTTTGTTGGACCGAGCCACTCTATTTTAGCTCACGCAGGAGAATTCTGGCCCTGGGAAAATTGATCTCAGCATGCTGCCAAGCTTTCTCATGGAGGTCAGCGAATCCCAACACACTGTCGGTCAAAGCAGTGCTGGAAGAAACAAAACAGTTCTCCCTCGGTAGAACTGAGGGGGATTGGTCCAGGGCTCCCGCCGATACCAAAATCCTGGTTGCTCAAGTCTCTCATAGAAAATGGCGTAGTATTTGCACATAACTATGCACATCCTCCCGTGTACTTTAAATGGTCTCTAAATTACTCTGTAACACCTAATCCAATGTAAATGCTATGTAAGTAATTGTTATACTGTTTTTATTTTTACTAGCTTTTGTTGTATTTTTTTTTTAATTCATTTGTTTGATATTTCGATCTTGGGGAACCCGGGTATATGGAGGGCCTGCTACACAGAGAAAACGGAGGGATATTCTGTGCATCCGTTTCTACGGATCCTCTAAATCGGCCTTTGTTTTCAGCCAGGATTTAGTGCCCAACTGTGTCCTCTGGAGGCCCCACATGGAGCTAGCAAAGTTTGCTGCATCGGGTTTTGCAAGAGGACTATCTGCTCCATACTGAGAGTAATTACCACAAACTGCCCTATGAAATTGGTTGGGGTTCTTACTGTTAGCATGTTTATTACTTTATCAGGGCTCTCTGTAGGAGAGTCTGTGAGAAAATGTTCTGGTTTCTGCTGAAAGAATCGTGTTTTGTTGGGGTTTTTTCCCCGGAAAAATATTATTTTTAAAAACTCTTCTGTGCCCTGTTTAATCTCTCCCTTGGATCCACCTCCTATGTGCTCATAAATCGTAAATCTGTATTCAGACTTCTAGACTCGAAACACGTAGATCCACCTCGTGGTTCTTCAGTCATTTTAAGCTCAAAACTCAAAATCTCCCGAAATCAAAATGTTGACATTTATAATCTCCAGGGTGTGACTCACGGGGGATGAGGGGAGCACTTCTCTCCCTCCCCGCATAAAGCTGGTTCTCCTGTCTGCTCATTGAACGGTTCCACTACCCATCACAGCATCTACATGCCTAAACCAACACCCCAGCATTGGCATCGGATATCTTCCTCTCCCTTGGCTGCTTCAGGACAGAGAAGAAACATGCTTGCCCTTTTCTGACTCTTTAGTAACTCTCGCCAAATCGATCACATTATTTTACATCTCTTTACATCTTAGTACTCCCCCCATCTTGGCTGTGTGTTCCTTACTGGCAGTGATTTTTGTTTATTCATTTTTGTAAACTGACACTTAGTTCAGTGTCCAATATAAGCTCAATAATAGTTAATAAAAGGAAAAGTGCCTGCATCTGATTGCTTTTAAACACTGTTAGAAAAGACATAACCAAATTGCAGCTTGATAAAACCACCACAAAACAAGACTGAGAGAAGTGGTGATTTCTGGTGTCAGCGGGCACAGGACCCTGGGCAGAATCAGAGATACGGGGTCTATTCAGTTCCCTTTTTAAGGGATCAGGACATGCTACCTCCAAATGTGCCAGTTTCGACTTAAGAATTATTTTCAGCTGAAATAAACAGCTAAAATCCCTTACCTTTTAATAGCAGATCCTCCTCGCAAGTCTCAAATTTTTAACTCAGTTGTCATAAATCTTCTTCAGGACTAGAAGCAAATCTAATCTCAGAGATGAGAAGTAGTCATCACACCCAAATAGACATTGTCACAAGACTCAAATCTTCCATCTATTCTAAGGGACCATTTATCTTTTCAAAAGTCATTTGGTTTTCCGTATGTCCTTTATTCCTCCTCCTTTTCCCCTGCTGTTAGGTAGATCCCAAATTCTAACCACCCCTTTGAGTTACTCATCTCAGAGTGCTCCTATGTATACACTTTTTTTTTTTTTTTTTTTTTTTGATTCAGAGTCTTACTCTGTCACCCAGGCTGGAGTGCAGTGGTACAATCTCGGTTTAAACACCCAAGTCTGTGGTGTTTTGTTATAGTCCCTCTAGAAACTAATACAGGATTCATGGTCTGCCAAAATCCCATTCCCTGCTCAGACCGACAATGGATGGTGGGATCCTTCGTGATACGTACCCTGTGAGTTAGAAGTAGCAACTAGAGCTGTTGAGGACAATACCTTTGCACCCGGTACCTCATCCACTGATTTTTATTTTCAAAGATATAGTCTGAAACCCTCAGAGGGTGAGTGCCTTTCCAGTGTGTCAGAGCCATTAGCAGCTGGGCAGACCGCTGAGCATGTAGATTTCTAGGTCAAGGCCCTCTCCCCAAAGAATCATACTCCCTGGTTGAACTGAACCTAAATCAGGTTTTGAACTAGACAGATGCCAACCAACTTAAAATTTGAAAGACACCCAAGACCTGTCCATGGCCCTGGGATTTGAGGACAACCTGTGCATGTCATGGCTATGGCAGTTCAGGGGTCTCTGGCTTAGTGGGAATGTCTATGTCCTAACTTCACCCTTCTCACTCTTCCACCCCCATCTGCCCCTCCTATGACAATGGAGTGCTCATTCCCCAAATTATCAGCACCGTGAAAGAGAGAAAGGAACACTGGATAGTCTAAGACCTGGTCTTGGCTTGTGTGAGACAGTGGAGACCTCACTACTTGGTCTTTTCTGGTTTACTGTCAAAAGGTTGAAGCTGGGGCCTTGACTGCCTCCTGTTCTCTGTTCCAGGGATGCTATACAATAGAAGTTTTGGGTCTTGACCATCGAAAGGTCCCATGAATTCTCCACTCAGCTCAGCTCAGCCCCCTGCTCTCACATTGGGTGAGGAAACGATAGGCAGTGCGGACGGGCATATGCACACTCACTGAGGAAGTGCAGCCTGTCTGACCCAATCTCTCTCACCCAGCCTAGGCAGGACACTGTTTCCTTAACTATCAGCAGCTATCTTGGGGATTTCCCCACAGGGCCAGGGCAACAGAATCGGGTTCTCACTGTGACCATGGTCTGGAAGGACCATGAGGAATTCTCCAGTGCTGTCAGGGTTTCCCATACTGTCACAGACAGTTTAGTAACAGCTTTGACACCTTTTGGTAATAGGACAAAGTTAACACTCCTGCCACTATCCTGTGAAGGCCAAACTTCCTAGGCCCCATAGGAAACTTTTGGAATGTCTTCTTTGGGTTGAGAAACTGGGGCAAAGTAGAACCCAATTTTTTCACGTCAATATCAAAATGTAATCATTTCAGGTGCACAGAGTTCCGCACTTTCAGATTGGTCTTAAAAGAAAATCGGCCTGGCGCGGTGGCTCAAGCCTGGAATCCCAGCACTTTGGGAGGCCGAGACAGGCAGATCACGAGGTCAGGAGATCGAGACCATCCTGGCTAATACGGTGAAACCCCGTCTCTACTAAAAAAATACAAAAAAACTAGCCGGGCGAGGTATTGGGCACCTGTAGTCCCAGCTACTCGGGAGGCTGAGGCAGGAGAATGGCGTAAACCCGGGTGGCGGAACTTGCAGTGAGCCAAGATCCGGCCACTGCACTCCAACCTGGGCGACAGAGCGAGACTCCGTCTAAAAAAAAAAAAAAAAAGAAAAGAAAAGAAAATTGCCGGGCGCGGTGGCTCACGCACTTTGGGAAGCCGAGGTGGGCAGATCACCTGAGATCAGGAGTTCGAGACCAGCCTGACCAATGTGGTGAAACCCCATCTCTACTAAAAATACAAAAAAACAACAAAAAAAAAGTTAACCAGACTTGTTGGCGGGCCCCTGTAATCCCACCTACTCAGGAGGATAAGGCACGAGAATCGCTTGGACCCGGGAGGCGGACGTTGCAGTGAGCTGAGATCGCACTACTGCACTCCAAACTGGGTGACAAAAGCGATACTCCATCTCAAAACAAAAAGAAGAAAGAAAGGAAACAAAGAGAAAGAGAGAAAGAGAAGAAAGAAAGAAAGAAAGAAAGAAAGAAAGAAAGAAAGAAAGAAAGAAAGAAAGAAAGAAAGAAAGAAAGAAAGAAAGAAAAGAAAGAAAGAGAAGAAAATCAAGTAAAGAGCAATTCACATTCTCTTGAAAATTCTCATTACATCCAGCCTGGTTCCAGGGAAGCCCTGCCGTGAAACTGGTATTGTTACTTAGACTTAGGGTCCTTTGATCAGAGTTGATGATGTTCTCAGCTAAGTCAGTGCTAGGAGTGGACAGAGATGAAGTGATAGATGTGACAGAATTGTAGAATGTAGATTTAATAAGATTTGGTATTTTAGGGCAGGGCGTGATGGCTCATGCCTGTAATCCCAGCACTTTGTGAGGCCAAGGTGGGCCGATCACATGAGGTCAGGAGTTCAAGACCAGCCTAGCCAACACGGTGAAACCTCCTCTCTACTGAAAATACAAAAGTTGGCCAGGCACGGTGGCTCATGCCTGTAATCCCAGCACTTTGGGAGGCTGAGGCGGGGGGATAATGAGGTCAGGAGATGGAGACCATCCTGGCTAACACGGCGAAACC